ACATAAAAACATCAAAAACCCAATGCTTTTTCACAAAAATTGTACAAATTTCCCGCCCGGGCTCTCTTGCTGAAATCATAGGAAAACCATAGGAATCTTAAGAATTCGGTCAAATCCAGCGATTTCACGTCATCGCGCGGTGCACTCGCGATGCTCTGTCATGCACCCAGGCCGCGAATCCTGTGCAAAAAATACCACAAAGAGCACACTCGCGCGTTCATGTCAGAATCCTACCGAACACCGTGTGTTTGCAAGCATTTCAACATAAAAACATCAAAAACCCAATGCTTTTTCACAAAAATGCTTTGGGGTGTCCTGTCAGACCGTCGGGCTTCCTCCGGCCACCTCTGGCTTCCTGCGGTGTACCGGGCCATTCTCGACTCGTCTGGCAATGCGTGCGCGGCATTCAACACGCGCTCGCCAGTTCCCGTCGGCAACCGCCATCGCGGCCGCATCAGCTGTACCAAACCGGCTGGCCGGTGTGACTTCGGCCCCCAGTTGTGCCAGCTTTGCTTCTTATGTTGTGGGAGGGCGGGTGGGACTGGGCATGCCATGCTTGACTCGCTCGAGCTGGCTAGCTTGACTCCTACTCCTACTCCTACTCCTACTCCTACTCCTACTCCTTCCCCTCCTCCTCCTCCTCCTCCTCCTCCTCCTCCTCCTCCTCCTCCTCCTCCTCCTCCTCCTCCTCCTATCCCCCCCTTGGCACGCGGGGGCGCGTGATGGTGCCCTGAGCTGCCCGGCGGGGCCTCGCTCCTCCATGGGCCCGCCCGCCCCTGGGCTACTCGCCCCCTGTCGCCGCCACCGAGACAGGAAGGTTCCGGCGTATCCCCGGCGCTGATGAGCCTGTTCTCAACCACCACCACAACCATAAGTTGGAGGGGGAGGGGGTCCTCCACCTCCTCCTCCTCCTCCTCCTCCTCCTCCTCCTTCTCCTCGTCGCCCAGCGGGCGGGGCTCCCCGGGCTGGGACTCCTGCCTCCGGCGCCGCCACGAGTCCCCCGGGAGCCCAGAAGAACTGCTGGACGATCCCTCCGCCATCATGCGTGTTTTCTCCGGCACCCTCTAAGACGGAATCATGAGGAAGGTAAGGTAAGAGCTTGACCACGGGAAACCTTCCACGAGAAACCCAATGCTGAGACCCCAGGACGTCCATTCATTTGTGAAGTGGGAACGTCACGCTGGCCATACCAACATCATCGAAACCCAAGAAACCCGAGGCACCCTGAAGGCAAGCAGGGTGTTCTTGGCATGGGCCTCCTCTGTATGGGAATGAATCATGAGGAAGGTAGAACGAAGCCTCCTAGAAACCTTCAGATGTCCTGGAAGCCTGCAAATGTCCTGAAGAGTCCTATACCACACCGTCGCGTCTTAAATCTCTCAGGGATGCGGTCCACCGCAAAAATGAGCGTTGCAGGGCTTCCCGTGTGCACGATGATCCTGAGGCACGCGCATGTGCAGATGTAGTGCACATGGTAGCATGCACGTCTACACAGTACACACCTCGGCAGGAATACGCAGTATCAAATTGTATCGGCAAGGTCGTTGTGACGAGTGACAGCCTGCAAGGCGTTGGTTGTTCCTCAGATGGTGTGCCCCATGTGCGGTGCGCAGAAAGGTCTCCATCACGGGCTGCAAATATGCCCCCACCCGTTTGTGAAAGATGCTGGGGAGGAGGCGGCAAATGCTGAGATCGTGCTCGAGGCGGAGGAGCCTAGACCCGAAAACCACCACTCTCTGCACTTCCAGCCGTCCACTGATCTCTTGTATCCCCAGGTCCTGGCCCCTGATGGCCAGGTCCTCGACGATTTCGCGAACCTCGATCGAGCCACCGATGTTGTCGACGGGTCGTGTTCGAGGCCTGGGTCTGTCTGGCTCAAGAAGTGGGCGGGTAGTAGCACACTTTCGCGGCCAAATGCTGCATACTCCAGATTTCGTAATAAAAGGGAGGGGTTCCCAACCCTCCCAGACGAGAAGTTTTAGAGCCCCCCAGACCATCCATGAAAGGGCGGCCCTTTGCCCAGACCCCCCCGAACCTTCCAAGTCAGCTCAAATCAGACCCCCCCGCCAAAATGTACCCCCCCCTACTTGATTATGGAATCCGGAGTAGCCGACCACAGACACCGCAGGCCGAGGAGCGCCTCGGCATGGTCAGAGTCCGGTTCCCTGCGCGGCAGGCGGTGGAATGGCCTGTCGGCTTGCACAAGCAGCCGCCTTCCCAGCAGGTAAGAGACGAGACGAGACGAGACGAGACGCGCGCGTCCGCCGGCCGGCGGGCCGACAGGCCCCTTAGGGGCGGCGCGGGCCGTCCAGGGCCCGGTCATAGGCGCATGAGCTTCAAGAAGTCGCTCTCGAGGTCGGTCCAGGATTTGACGTGTGTAGCACTCAGTAGCCATGTGCCGGGTGCGCTCCCCACAAAATCGCTCTGGAAGAATTCTGTGATATCGTCACGCCACCGTTTTCGCTGTCCACCGTGTCGGCGTTGTGCTGCCCGAAGGTCGTAGCTATCAGGCTCCCATGCCGCTGCCAGTCGGGCCCAAGAGTGGTGTGGTTGTGTGGCAACTCGCCCAGCCCATCTCCATTTACGCATGTGATAAATCGCCACCCATTCCTCCACCTGTGCGCGCGTCGCAAGGTCTGAGGCGGTGTGGGTTGCCCTGCGGATGAAATGGTCCCAGGGTTCAATGTCGGATTCGTCGTCGACGTCGTCAAAGTCTAGATGCCGTTTGACGTCGGAACTGCTGTCGTCGTTTGTGCTGTCGTCGTGCTGGTCAGTTTCAGGGTTGAATGTGATTTCGGCGGTGCTGGTGTGAGGTGGTCTCTGTCGGCGTCTCGAGGTATTGACAATGAGTCGTGGCATGCGTCGTTGGGTGCGTCGGAGTGTCAGGAGCATGTCTTTGGTGAGAGTCCACGTTGCGCAGCCGTACGTGACAGTTGGCGTCACTGTCCCGCTGAAGAGCCTGAGTCTGCTGTGAAGGGGGTACCGGTTGTTTGTGAGCTCGTTGCGGAACTGGTTGAATTTGCGCCATCCCATTGCAAGTCTGTTGGTGAGCTCGGCGTGGTGGAAGTCGTGCAGCGTCAGCTTGCGACCCAGGTATTTGGTGCTTTCCTCGGCGCTGAGGATTTCGAACATTTACGGAACATTTACGCGGGGCCCCGTCGTGACTTCTGGGAGCTTGAAGGTGCGAAGTATGTTGCTCAGGCCACTCCTTCAGTATGTATGCTGCTCACCGCAGTATGCAAGTAGTCGACCAGCTCCCCCCAGAGGAGAGAAGGACTGGTCGAGGCAGCTTGTCAGATGCTCGCCTCGCTGAAGAAGCTCCTCGGATGCCATGCTCGGGAGGAGCCTGGACCTCGGGAGGCTCTGGAGGCCCTGATCGGTGAGGCCCGAGCGGTGGCCTTCGACATGGGTTCGGTGCTCTCCGTGTTCCATGCCTCTGGTTTCCTGAGGAGTCCAGGGTGCCCGCGGAGAGGTGGCACGCCAGGACGATGGTCCCTGGGGCTCGAGGGGCCTCCACTTGCCATGATTGTCACGCTCGAGCTTGTGATACTACTGCCGATCTTGATATGTATGGATGTCACGGGAAACGTCCGAACGTCGCTTTCATGGCCAGCCCTCAAAGAAAGATGGTCTACACTAATGAGGCTAACCAATGGCCCCAGTCTTGTGTATAGCCGTCGTGGCGGGTCGTACAGTATGGATCGCATCAGTCAGCAGATCGAGAGGACGTGTCCAGGCTATGTTGTATCGTCCCTCTGCATTCGTGGAGTCGCCTCGACCGAACGCTCCCAGGCATTCACCCGCAGTCGAATCGTGCGAGTGCTGGGGATGTGCTCCACACCTTAAGCGAGGTGGAGCGTGAGAGGCTGCTGCAGACCCAGCGGCCCACCAAGCGCATGGTTGTCCTCCAGCAGCCTGGGCAAGGAGCTCCAGGCAGCGATCTGCTCCCAGGGCTTGAAGCCCTCAAGCAGAGCATTGCGGCCCGAAAGGCTGCCTGATTGATATTGTTGATGTTTTCCCAACCGGGCATCATGAGAAAAATACTCACTCCTCCTTATCCCTCGTCCCTCCTCCTCCATCTCCCCTCCCTCTCCCTTCTACTCACTACTCCTCCCTTCCTCCCTCCCGCCCCTTCCCCCTCCTCCTGCCTGGGAACGCACGAAGGGACCGATACCGCTACTCCCCGGACCTCTCCGAGATGCGCTCTGACCAGAAATTCGGGGCGGATGCAGCCGTGGCGAAGAGGGAGGTGCAGCGATAGCAGCACCTTTTCCTCATCCCCCCTCCACCCCCCCTCCTCCACTCCCAATCCTTCCCCAAGGTCGGGCATCTGCTGACCCGGGTCAATCCAGACCCGGGTCAGTCGGGCCTTGCAAGATTCTGCAGGATCCTGCAAGATCCTGCACCCGGACCCGGGTCCATGCGAAGGATCCTGCAAGATCCTGCAGGATCCTGCACCCAGACCCGGGTCAGTGCGACCATGGTCCTGCAGGATCCTGCAAAATCCAGCGCTCTGGCTGACCCCCGTCTGCATTGACCCCCGTCTCAAGGCTCCCGACTAAGGCGGCACGGTCCGTCGACGCACGGTTTTGGGACCTCGGATGCCCCAGTCGCCCGAGACGTCCTCGGAGAATGACCCGAGCCCCAAAACCGTGCGGTGACCCCGAATCCCCACCGACCCACCACACGGTGTGGTCAGCCCAGTCATTCCCCAAGGGCGGCAAGAGGGGACCTTGGTCCTGCAGGATCCTGCAAAATCCAACGCTCTGGCTGATCCCCGGTTGCACTGACCCCGTCTCAAGGCTCCCGACAGGGGCGGCAAGAGGGGAGGCTCCAGCCGTGGCGAAGAGGGGAGGCTCCAGTCGTGGCGAAGAAGAGGGGAGGCTCCAGCCGTGGCTCCACCCCTTCCACCCCCCCTCCTCCACTCCCCGTCCTTCCGGCAAGGGCGGCAAGAGGGGCCCTGGCACGGAAGCGAGGCCCGGCGGAGCGAGCGGCGCCTGCCTCGGACAGGGCGTAGCGGCACGACGGCAGGTCCTTCACCACCAGCCACAGCCTGAAGGGCGAGCTGGCGCGGCTTGGGGAGCGCTTTTTGCGACCCTTAACTGGGTGAGCAGGGGGAGGAGGAGGGGGAGGAGGAGGAGGAGGAGGAGGAGGAGGAGGAGGAGGAGGAGGAGGGAGGAGGAGGAGGAGCAGGAGGAGGAGGAGGAGGAGGACGACGAGGAGGAGGAGGAGGAGAAAAGAGGGAGGAGTACGAGGAGGCACTTTGTGGAGACCTCCACAGCTCTCCAGAGACCTCCAGAGACTTAGGAAGAGGAGGAGGTCGACCCGTCGCCCCAGCTCCTCGTGGATGGGGACCTCCTCCTCCTCCTCCTCCTCCTCCTCTCTCCTCCTCCTCCTCCTCCTCCTCCTCCTGCTCCTCCTCCTCCTCCTCCTCCTCCTCCTCCTGCTCCTCCCCATCTCCCTCGGCGTCATCCTGCGACGTGGTGGCGCAGGACTGTGTCTCCTGGCGATGCCCGCACGGTGTCTCGGCAGGGCACCGACTGCGGAGTGCCTGGCAATACCCCGCGGGGTCGGGAGTGCCCTGGCCGACGGCATCGTCCAGTGGCGCCGACCGTGGTGGCCGGGTGCCCCCAGGGTTGCGTTCTAGCACTGCCTGCTTCTGTGAGTAGTTGTGAGAACAGTACTCCGCACACCAAACCAAGCACCCCGACAAGCGTTATGTTGTTCCCATCGTACTCAAGGACCACATCCCAGAACTGATTTCGAACACCCAGAAAAGTGTCGAGAGAGTATCGAAAGAGTGTCGAAGCAGTGTCGGGCCAGTGTCTCCCAGGGCCCGAAACGTGAAAACCCTTGAGTTGTTGGGTGCTTCTCTGGTGATCGAAATTATTTCTGCTGCTCAAGGCTAAAGTAGGTTGGAACATCATAAGACAAGCGGAGCCACTAAACGCCCAGGGCCGTTTAGTAGACGCCAATTATCGGGATCGGAATGTTCGTTCCTCCCTTGACCTAGTTGTATGAGAACGCCGACTGTACACATCCTGGGCCCAGGATCGGTGTATACGCCCTCCAGGCTTGGCCAGGGAGACATCCATACTCCGATCCTGTGACCTAGATCGGGCCGGGCCAAATCGGCGTATGTGTTTGTGTAGTCGGCGCTGGCAGGGATCGGTACCCGCCAGTCGGAAGAAGTAGGTAGAAACATAGAGCGGAAGAGTGGATAAAGTAGATTGGGTTCGGGCCCGCCCAGAGAAGAACAAGCAGCAACAGAAAGCACCGATTATTGAAATAGGAGGGCGCTTGAATTGGGATCTGGGAATCAACAAAATACCTACTGTCAACGACCGGCGTGTACTCGGCGACCTCCAGGTGGTGCCCCGCGGATTGCTTTCGCACACTGCCTACCTCAGCATTGAAAGGCGCATTCGGGAACTAATCGCAAGCATACAGGAGCACCGTCGTGGCAACACCGCGTTGGAAAGGACACCAGGGCAGCGCCGACACGCTGTCCGGACACGACGCTGGGACACCACGACACAAACCACGCAAGGGCACCACGACGGGAGCTGGCACTTCTAGGGGCCCCAGGAGCGAGCGGTTGCGCTCAGGTTCGTTTGATGGGCCCATTCTCCACCACTACTACCAGATGTAGGAGAGGGAGGAGGAGGAGGAGGAGGAGGAGGAGGAGGAGGAGGAGGAGGAGGAGGAGGAGGAGGAGGAGGAGGCAGTGGAGGAGGAGGAGGAGGAGGAGGAGGAGGAGGAGGAGAGGAGGAGGAGGAGGAGGAGGAGGAGGAGGAGGAGGAGGAGGAGGCAGTGGAGGAGGAGGAGGAGAGGAGGAGGAGGAGGAGGAGGAGGTAGGCAGTGGAGGAGGAGGAAAGGAGGAGGAAGTGGAGGAGGAGGAACTGGAGGAGGAGGAGGACCTCCTCATCCTCCTCTCTCCCCCGTCCTACAGATGGTAGCGGTGGTGGAAAAGTTGCCCGTCATCGCTCGCTTCCTGGACATGCCCACAGGCAGGTGCGCTCCGAACGAACCTCCTGTCAGCGCCACGCCGGCAGCGCGCCGCGCACCGGGGCGGGCGAGCGGGCCACGCGCTGGAAGCTGGCTGCCCGACGTCAGCCCTGGCGACACGATATGTTCCTCCTCCTCCTCCTCCACCTCCTCCTCCTCCTCCTCCTCCTCCTCCTCCTCCTCCTCCTCCTCCTCCTCCTCCTGGAGCGAGCGAGCGAGCGCGCTCCGCGTGGGCGTCCCGGAGCACGGGAGCTGGCCGCCGGCAGTGCGAGGGGCGAGCCGCCGCGCTCTGGGCAGGCTTCCCAGCAGCAGCCGCCGGCAGTGGCTCCATCCCGAGGCTCCATCCCGAGGCTCGAGGCTCCATCCCTTGTCGTCGCTCGGACGTCCATTCCCTGTGTTTTTTTCGGTTTCGTGCGTGGTTTTTTCGCGAAATGATCAAGGATGCTCCTCGATGGCCCTCGCCGAAGGAAAAATGCACACGTCCGAACGATGCCAGGGTGGAGAGCTGCCCGGAGATGGCGCTGCCAGGACAGCGTGCGCATCTCGGGGATGGACAGAACCCCCTTTTTAGCCACACGTGGACTAGTGCAAACGACCTGAGGCCCAAACCTGGCGGGCGCAAGCCTCGAAAACGACGGCCGCGGCACCCTCTCGAGAACCGAAAAGGGACAATTCACTCATCGAGGTGTCACTGTTGGGGGTTCTGTCCACCCCCGACTATCGTCCTGGCGGCAACCATGGCAACGATGGCCATGGGATGTGCGCGTGCTGCGAGGGGATGCGGACAGCCAAGGTTTGCCCACGCCTTGCGTGCGTAGCGAAGGTCCACGCATTGGGCAGCCAGGCAACGCAGAGCAAAAGCATGTGAGGTCTTGTGGTGGTGTCTTGAGGCCCGCCGTGCGCCACACGGCTACAAACACTCTTCTTAGAGGCCCCCAGCAGGGCGCCACGCAGCAGAGATGCTGTGGTGAGACAAGCCAGCAGGGCGAAGTCGAAAGCCAGACAGACGCGGATCCACGACGAGCACCTTCATTGGCACGGAGCCTTTACCATCACCCATGCACCCTTTGAGCCCCTGGCCTCATCCACAACATGGAGTCCTCCTAAGCAGGGCCTAATCGCACGGGGCCCCGAAGACTGCACTGCATCACCGATCCGCCGTCGATGCATGAACGATGTGACAATGTCGGGATGAAGAGATCGAGCTCCAGCTCGTGCTTGCCATCATATCGGCGATGTGGCGCGATCTGGAACACACTCCCCAGACATCTACCGCTTGGATTTGTTCGATGCGTGTGCCCCCAAGCCTCTCGACCCCATCCACAAGGCCAGCTTTTCATCCAGAGCTGCTCCGTGATGACCTTGGACCAGCCTCGAAAGGTCAAAATGGCCACAATCTGGCTGCCTCGACTCTTCGTGGCGCCAGATATGTGCAACTGCTCCGACGCCATCAGGGAGGACTGGAAACGGCGCGCCCGAAGTGGGTACTGATCACACGACGCCCAGCAGCAAATGCAGTCCAAATCCGACAGCGGCCGCTATCGGGTAGGAACCCTTCTGCCTCACAGGGACAGCCCCCGCAGCGGCACCGACGGCGAGACCTGTTTCAGAAAGGACAGGGAAACGGTTCTTGCCGTACCCGCTTCGATCGTGGTGACATAAACATAAAAACTCTGAGGTCCGCGCGGATTTCTCGGATCCGCGCTGGACCCCCCTAGCGGCGCCTCCGGCGCCGCCCCTGGCGCGCTCCGCGCGCCAGGGAGGGGGGTCCAGCGCCGATCCGAGAAATCCGCGCGGACCTCCGAATTTTTATGTTCATGCCACTTTTTGTTCCCCAGTGAGATCTGACCGCTGCAAGGCCCCGGCCCGCAGGGGCCTTTTAGTGCTGGAGCTGGACCCCGCCCGGTCCACGTAGAACGTGCCGTCCTCTCGCAGAGGGGGAGGAGAGAGCCAGCTCGCTCGGCGGGGGCCCGCAGAGCTCCCGGCTCTCCGGCGCCGCGAAGGGCGCCAGAGCCCTCGGGGATGGGCAGACCCCCCTGCATCGGGTCGGGCGAAAGGGGGGGATAGCAAAGGGGGGGGTTGAGAATCAGCTCCCGCAGCTGATTTTCCTGGCGCCAGAGGCGGCTATGTATCGAGGAATGGGCCCCTCGGTGGGGCCGAAACCAGCTGCATGCAGCAGATTTCGTAACCCCCCCTTTCCCAATCCCCCCCTTTCGTCCGGCCCGACGTAGTGAAACGTGGTTTGGTGAAAACGACCTGAGGCCCAGACCTGGCGGGCGCAAGCCTGGAAAATGGCGGCCACGGCGCCCTCTCGAGAACCGAAAACGGACCATTCACCAATCGACGCGTCACTGTTGGGGGCTCTGTCCACCCCCGAAAAGCCCGGCCGAAATCGTGACACAGTAATAGACACCTCCTGCGAGTGGCTTCTTGAGAACGATGATGGGCGATCAAGCCCGACTGAGGGGCCGTTAAACCAGATTGAACCAGAGTAAACCTGGGATTCACCCACTCACGCGGGATTCAGAGGAACGAAGCGGGACGATGCCAGATCAGGCTGATGGTCGACCACCAATATACCAGCGCCGATGCTGAATTAATCTCCCAGGAGTTGCATCCGAATCAACACATGCCAGAATGCGATCGCACCACCACTGACCACA